TTTCAGGAATGCCTATAGAGAAAAGCAGCCTTTAAGTTTGCATGAAGACAAGTATCTTTCGGCACATCCGAGTATAGCTCGAAAAAACAGATCATATTTCAGACACATAAACCCTTGCTCAGATATCCAACAACTAAGCAAACCTGAAAGTTAAACACAGTTTGGGAATAGCCACTGCGAGTTTAATCACGATGTATGAGCTGGCCTATCCGACAGAAAACATAAGCGGTACCTGTGGAAAGGAAAGGGCTGTCCTACTTAATTTTTCAAACACATTTTGTTAGAAAACTCTCAAGCCACAAACTGCTGGAAGCTGAAAGTAGTTCAGGGAAACACAATTATATGCCAGTCTTATCCCTATCCACGATACCATCCACTGCTGGACAGGATGGCTGTTATGGCTGTTCTTAGAATCAAACCCATCTGGCCATTTACATAAAAGACTGAATTTTTTCTTTCTTGAAAAACTGCTACTACAGTACTGCAAGGGATGACCGAATGCTTGCATACAGGCACATCTGGCACATCCACCAACTGCCTGCAAAATAAAGCATTCCGGAGTTTAAAAATGCCTGAATGAAGATCTTCTGTGCAGCTGAACTGAACTGCTTGTGCGCACACCGTATAACGACACAACAGTACAGTCTTTGATGTCGCCAAAACCAAACTGAAGGCACAAGATGTACAGTACTTTCTGAACTAGGAATGATTCAACATTCAGTTCTAACTCAAGAAACGCAAAGACACACGTCTAACAGCACACGTTACATTAATTAGAAAAAGATACATTTTCTTATGCATTGTTCTATGGGTCAGCTCATCTGATCATTTTGGTTTTGTTTCTTAAACCAATATTCATCAACATTCACAGCACCAGAAAGACTTACTTAGAAAAGAGAAAAATTTAAAAAATTAAGAGCTGCACTGGGAAGCCTGTTTATCTATCCAAATTCAGAGATGCCTCATGGAAGAGGAATCCCTATTATAAGACAGAAATAGCTACAAGGAATATCCTGTTCTACAACCTTAGGTTGCTCAGAAGTTTTCTAGACGTGATGCCTGTGCCATGCCACAACAGACACAAGATAGGATTGGACCATCCTTAGCACACCTGACATTGCCAAAAGTCTATACTGTGCCTGCAAGTCTCTGGTAAGCGTGGAAGATAAGCTTTCCACCCAGAAACAGGTAACTTAACTAATTATTTATAGAAAAGCGAGAGATCTCCTTTGTGTGATTTTAATGGATGGAGTTTCCAGAAATCCTCTATTACTTCACAATAATAAAAATCACTGCAACTCGTGATTGTTGCAAGAAACACATTGTTGCAAGAAACACTGCAGGTAGTACTTAGAAATACATTGTGCTGGAGGAACATGGAAGAAAAGATTCAGCCTCAATGGCTCTGGATTCAAAAATACTGTGGACAACTGAAAACCGAATCTCACAACACAGGCTGCCAGGAAATCTTGCCAACCCGCGCCAAAATGCTTACATGTGGGACTTACATACGTGGATCATATTTTTTATTACCATCCTTTCGTTCTTATCTTTGGCAGTATCCAAATAATCCAAAGCATAAAGTCATGACAAAAACTCCCTGTCTGCTGCCGATGGCCCGAACGCACTGCGCTCCCACGCCCCGAGCGAACCCCAGCCCTCACCGCAGCCTCGCAGGGGACACGGCCAAGGGAGGGAACGAAAAGCCAGCCAAGCCCCAACCTAACCTCCTCCGGCATTTCAGCTCACCCGCGCACTCCTCAGGTACTTCCCTCACCCCCCTCCACCGGCCTCTGTCCGTAGGCGGGCACCAGAGACCACACGAACCCGCGGAGGCCCCGCGCTCCAGCCGAGGCGGGGGAGCAGCGCG